TTACGCCCCGTAAGGGCATGGCAATTTCAGCGGAGACTGTCTCACGCTGTTACATTGTAAATACTTATGCCAATATTACATTTCATTTAATTATTTACATTTAAAATTACACTTTCATATACAAATACATACTAGTGGGCACAAGCATTATATTTTGTGATTACAACTTCCCCAATACAATAAATTATATCAAAAATTATATCCAAATCTAAATTTAAACCCTAACCCATGCGTAGATTTAAATTGACGTACATTTTTTGTTAATTTATTTTTATCATCAAAGAATTCGGCAATCCTTTAAGTAAAGTTATTCTTGTCATTATATGAATATGTTTCAATAATTGATTTATTAATTCATTATGTATTTTATTTACAATAGGATGTGGACCGGCTGTGCACATCTTGAATTTTGAAAACGGATTTTTAATTTTACTGTGTTCTAATGTTTTGTTTTATTGTTATTTCTAGTGAATCTAAATGCGAGCGTTTCCTTACAAACTTACACGATTCCAATAAGTATAGTAAGAGGTTGTTTATAAACACATGTGTTCCAAACAACCTCTAAATTTATCTATATTAATATTTTGTTATCTATATTAATATTTTCGCCATACCTAATCTCTTTTAGGTAGGTGACACACGTCGATTATATAACCAGAAATTGAGACGAAATGTCATTTAATTTGTTTTAAAACTATTCTGCCAAATGGTGACAACTGCGCTCCGATTGGCCAGCCCGAATTCGAAACAATTGACGGGTGTCGTCAATCGTTTCACTCCAATACGACCATTTTAACTTGAGCTTTGCTATTATGGACGAAAATTTAAAAATTACATATTTCATATTTGATTATCGATGAAATATGATTCCGTTTGTTTTGTAATTATATGTTTTACTGTTTTTCCCACACCACCGAATGGAACAGCCCCCCATTGTTAGGATATTATCTTTATTACAATAAATACAGAATGTCTTTAGAATATACCGAGACGTACACATAGTCAGTTATTGGCGCTGTACTATTTCAGCTTTCTAATTTTTGTGATTTCAACGCAAACGAGAGTTGATATTTAAAAGTGATATCAAGCTCATTTGCCTGATGAGTTGACCTAATGAGATGGCCCTTATTTCGTCTCTATTTCTGATTGTATACTCGATGATGACACATCTTCTCGCTTGCTCTATTAGTAACGCATACGATAAGTACTTATCAACTATTATCGTTGAAAATATGCAGCATAAATAGGTTTCGCGAGTAACGTTTCAGTCATGTTTAGTTTGTTACAAATAAGAAAGATAGAAAGAAAACTAATTTATTTGCACATTTACCTAAAAATAGAATGAATGAATGAATAAATTAAAGAATGAATGAAATATTGTTCTCAGCACATAAAATACAGCGGCAACACAGAACAGTAATTTAAGTATAAAAAACAACTTTATATTATTTGCACTGTCAATTTAATTTTAAATTCGTAAACATCGATAAGACTGAAATTTAACCCGGGCAGGATTTTTTCAACCTTACTTCAAGCAGTCAAGGGGAAATCTCGACTTCTGTTAGACAACGGAACACCTTGTTGCTTTCAAGAGAACACATGACCGCATTAAACTTTGTGAGCCGTGACTTGACACGCGCTCAAAATGGCGGGGCATCACGGAACGTAAATGTTGATATTGACCTCGCATAACCTTTTAACGAAAAGTACAATGAGACTATACATAGTTTATCTATGGTCTTAGTACTTGGTATAATAAAACACATGTCGATGTTTTTTTAGAATAGTAGCCTATCTCAAAAGCATCTAATTCCTCAGAAGAAGAAGAAGCCGCCCAAAGTTGACGAATTGTAGACCATCGCAATGTTGTTATACGATTATTGTAAACAATGAAATGTTTGGAATCCCAATCACAAAAAAAAATTGCATTGCAGATTTATTCAGAAATCTGAATAATAAATCAAAAAAGGATCTATTTCGAATAGAGAAGTGCTTTTATCACATGAAAATTATAAAAATATAATTAATAAATTACGCATACAGAATAGAATAGAATAGAATAGAAATCTTTTATTACTATCTTTTATTATATATATGAAGTTATGTAACTCTCCTATAGAAAAGTTATCGACTAATTTTGTTTTGTATGTAGATTCTTTAAACCTCTCTCCTCAAAAGTTGTTATTTTGCAGTTGTGGCCTTATTACATCAAATGAGCGATTTGTGATAGCTGCATATAATAAGATAATAAAAGTAGTTCATAGCTAGTTAGCTGTAACTCTTGTTATTTATTACTCATTATAAAGTGTTAGTTTGTCAACGAGTCATCTTGTGTAGCATGTTTGTCTCTATTTCAGTCTGCACACTGGCATGCAAATTGTTTATACCGAAAATGTCCAAAAAATATCTTCAAGCACAGCAGCAGTGGCAAAATTGCCTTCATTTTCATAATTTTAACTCGAGGTAAAAAAAACGCGACTAAGGCAACTTAAAATTTTACTCGAACATTTAACTAAAAATTTAAAGCAGAAGGTTATTTAATTTCAGGAGGTGATTTCTCAGTGTTAATTACCGACTAGCCGTGATGAAGACGGTCTACCCGGTAATGGGTCTGAGACGCCAGTTGTAAATCCAATTGAATTTATTTAGCACGCAGACCGAGTGTCGTAAACGCTCGAAATAATTTAAATAAACAAGCTTAGGAGTTTACGAATAAATTTATTATACTTTTGAACCGGTCTTCCGCACAGTACAGCTATTTAAAAACAATATAATATTTAATACAGTAGAAACACCTGGAGGTACCTAAGAAGAAAATGAATTTCATATTTTATGTTCTGGGAGAAACAGGATAATAAATCAGTATACAGAGTACAGAAAATATCGATCTCAAAAGTTCGTGGAATGACATCTTTTTGTCAAGTTTCATTGAATACGGTTACCAGAAAGTGCGCTATTTATAAAAATTAGTCCTTCATGCGTGAATAGCCACCCTTAGAGGTGGAATATTTTCTTTAAAATTAAATGGGATCATCACTGAGGAACCCTCTTTCCAACAAAATAATAATCATCAAAATGGATTTACAAATGCCGGATATACAAAAAAACGTGCAGTCGAATTAAGGACCTCCTCCTTTTTTGAAGCGGTTAAAAATAAGTGCGTGAAATCAATTATAAAACGTTGATAATGGCATGGAATATTTATATGAAGACTGTTAAAATAAAAAATACGTGGTTTTGTTCTCTAATAGAATAAATATAACTCTTCATACCAACAGATAAGAAAAAACATAAAGGAACTAAATCAACGGAATGATACGTCTGAACCACTCGAATGTAGTCACTTTGTTCACGCAATACAAAAAGCGTTCAAATGCTTTATGTGTTTGATATCAAGCTATACGTAGCTTATATATATACATATATATATTATTACATATGTATTATATATATAATGTAATATAATGTATGTAATAATATATTGTGTGTATATATATATACACACAATATATATAATGTACTATAAAGGTTATGAATGTCCCGCATTGTAACTCATATGTTGTACTCGTTGTAATCATCTTGTACTCATATAATGTAAGTGGATCTCGGTTGTCTAAAAAAAACCCTTTGGATTCAGCTCCAGTTCCAGTCAATATTACACGCATGGTATCTTTGGTTATTTATAACCTCTGCCACCATGTATTTGTCAAGTCTTTGTGAACATTTGGTGCACAAGTAATATGGAAAATCGTATTTTCGTTACGTAAAAATACGTTTCATTGCTTTCAAAGATTTTTTTTATGACACTAATTGATGGGACGTACAAGTCGTGCGCCTGATGGTAAACGACACGCCTGTCCATAACAGTTGCAGTGTCACTCATAGATTTAAATCACAAAGATCCGAGATCTCCAAAGATCCATCACCTTAAGACATAAGTTCAAAAGTTCCATGTGCCTGCAATTTCACCAGCAGCCTTACCCTTCAAAACCGGAACGTGTTAACATTATCGCTTGGCAGCAGAAATAAGTAAGATAGTGATCTCTAAATCTAGACGATACTCATATTTATTGTTCTCAGATTACTTTAAATTATTTTAACTTTACCTTAGTCCCTTTTTTTTACCTTAGTTCTTAAAAGGATCTAAAAGTAGCTTTTCATAAAAAAAAATCATAATGATCTATTCTGTCAGCGCGCATTATGCAGATTTATTCACTTAATAAGAAAACCTACGTTGCATAAGGTGTTATTCAACATAGTATATATGCTAAGGGTTAATAACACAGGTTTCCCTGGTTTATGTATCATGAAATTAAAAAGGTATATATTTGTGACATTAAGTTACATACAATAGTCAGTCCAAGACAACGACAAGTCCGGTCGTGTATACTGCTGCCACCTATGGGATGTATAGGTGACTCAGAATTAATAGAGGCGAAATTGTAAAGCCATTTACACCGCCGTAAGGTTGCCTGGTTATTGGTATTCTACAGGATATCACAGAGAATGTGCTAAAGAATTGCACGAATTAATTCCACCTTCCCTTTTCCATCATTTGGGGGACCAAGCGTAGGCTGAGGTTCCACCCCTATGTCGTGGATATTCCAAGAATTCATACGAGGCGTTTCGCTTCCACATTTATAAGGCTGTGGAGTGGAATTTCCTGCCTGCAGACTTGTCCTGGACGTTATAACTTGGACCTTTTCAAGGCAAGAGTGAATAGGCATTATTTAGGTGTGAATGCTCCATCGTCGACTACATCGTCACTTTCCGTCAGGTGAGATGGAAGTCAAATGCGCACTTATTTTATGATAAAAGGAAATAAAAAATTTTTTGAACCATAAACACCTCAAGTCATTGTTGTCTAATAAAAAAAGGTATAAAGTAAATGAAGTTTTATTTTTATTGCATTAAGACAAAGTTATGTACTTTTTATTTACTTTTTGTTGTTAATTATGATTTGTATCATTTAAAACGCTCAGTAGATATTCAAAAAAGTAAATAGTCAATTATTTATCGTCACGTGTTCATTTCAACAATATGTTCTTGTATTTTCTTGACTGTCGGAATTAAAGCAAAACTGTTAATTCTTGTGTTATCGCCATCACCAAATGTATCTTTATATACATACACTCCCTCCTTTTCCCCTTGGGGAAACCAGAATTGACAGTCTTATAAAAACAATTCTTCGTTAAAATAGAAAAAAAGTAAGCAAGAATCTTTCGACATAGTTGCTGTCTATGTCACACTGCTGATTCTTTAAAATAATGCAAGTATTGTACAAAGTAACAATACAGTTGAAAAGTGATGTTTATTTCTTCTTAGTACCCAAGTATTACAGATAAGATAATTATAATTATAAATAGATTATCTGCTAATGTTCACTTACATAAAATTTAATTATAAGCAGCATACGATCTTGTTGGAAAACGTTGTTGACAAAATTATCTTTTTTAAGAATTATCTTAAAGGAGTGATCACACTTAGGTCGTTTCCTTATTTTTCGGTGCGGTAATGGTGCGGCATCTGCTCGCTCGGTATACGCAGTATCGAAAGCTTACCGAGCCCTTATATTTCAATGTGCGCTTCCTGATCAATGACAAATCAGAAAACAGCCTTATTGACACGGAATCGCATTAAGCCGGTCAAAAAAATCTTTGTATCCATGAAATGCGACCTAAAAAGGCGTTACGCGTTTCGCGTCGACGACAGTCCGAGCAGAAGCCAAACGCGCAACTCTTTTCGCTCTTATTGCAAGGACGTAAATCTTTTTCCGACCGGCTCAAGCCAATTTCGCGTCAATAAGTGTGGTAACTCCCTTATTAGTGTAGTCAAAGTACTTGTCAACTATTTGACATAATAAAAAGAAACAGCCCATTTATGGTTAAACAAGTTAATTTTCAACTTTATATATTTTTAATAAACAATAAACCCTAAGAAATTAAAAAATTTAAAATTTAAAATAAACCCTAGTTATCGACAAGAACGTTAGGCTCTGTTTTCAAAGTCTGTTGAATTTGTCCAATAAACAAGTCAAGAGATGAAGTCATTCTGAAATTAGCCCTGAATTTCTGGCAATTATTCAAGAAGACTGGATGAAGGTATGGCAACACTGCATGATCCAATGTCGGGAAGAGATGGTGTAGGGCATGTTCGCCGAAGAAAGTCAACACTTTGAAAAGATTTACATTAATATCTGTTCTATCCATGACGGCTTCCAACTCATGCATACCCCAGTCAGGTTCAGGATCCCTGAAAACCGTATAATGTTCATTTTGTATACCTGCCCTGTGTAAGATTTTCATTAATTTTTTTGTCTTTGCCTTTACCAATATATTCGGAGATACATATATAGAAAACTGTGACCTAAGGAGAACAATATAAAAATGATAGTATATTATTCCTACCTGACTTGATCGCCATCCTTAAATATCTTCGGATGATGATGTGCGGCAGTTGATCCGATCCAAAAGAAAATAAAACTACCGGTGCAGAGGATCCATAACCACATGACAATTGTTTCATACAGAGTAGCACCACTAGCAACATACATCCATATTGGGAGAAGAAAACCGACAGCATCATGCCAACGGTAATGATCTTTGAAGAAATTTTCCATTGTAAAATTTCTTAAAAATCTGCAATGATAAATATGTTTGATCGACACTTCGACATTCCAAATAAAATTTACAACCCATGGCCATAGTATAAAAAGACTAGTATGGTAATTCCATACAAACGCAGTAGCGTTGCTCCCATGAGTGTGCGCCTGTCGCGTGCCGTGTACGCATGTACACATTTGTATAAGCTCGCGATGCGTTCGCATTGCATAGCGCTGGTCATTCCATGCATCTTTCATTGTTATGTGAATGTGTGCGTCCGGACACAGCGCGCGGCGGGCATGCATACATGTAAGCCGCACTGCTACGTTTGTATTCAGTTACCATACTTACCTTATTATACAACCGTAACCATAGGACCTGTGAAAAGCCCAAAACGTAAATTTCTTTGAAACAACAAATATACCCGATTTAGATCCGAAAAAAATAGTTCTATTGTCAATCGCGATTACCTTAGGCATTTAAACCTATCAAAACCTTCATGACACAAGTTAGGTACAAAGAAAAAATGATGCAAAAATATTCAATAAGATATGAAAATGAAGTAAATTGACTTATAGATGCATGTTGAAAGTTGTACCAAAACAAGAACATGTAGTCATAAACACAATACAAATTTACTCACCTTTTGATAAAATTGAGGATAAATCCGAAAGGAAACGCAATCAATTCAAACAAAAAAGCAAATTTATAAGTCATAGGCACATTCTTTCGAGGATTCCACCAAACTATTGGTTCAAAACCACTGACTTCGAGATCCATTAGAGTGTTAGGATATAAATGATGAGATAGAGCGTGTGATACTCTGAAATCCCTGAAATATAGACAACATATTTTATCTTTTTTTATGACACCAAGTGACGGTACATACAAGTCGTGCGCGTAGTAGTAATCGATACGCCTGTCTATAACAGTGGATTGCCACTCACAGCTTTAAATCAGAAAGATCTGAAGGGCACTGCCACTAAGCCCGTCACCCTAAAACTTAAACTGGCAAGTCTCATGTGCCTGTAATTTCACTAGTACCCTTCTCGCCGAAACACAGTAATACACAAACTACCGCTTGGCGGGAGAAATGGGTAAGGTTGTCCCTGGGCAAACTTTTTCGCAAGAAGCTTGACTTACTACATCCAATTATCTTTAACACATTCGTAATGTTAACTAGCTGTTCCAACAAAAAATTATCCATTCATAAAAATTACATGAAAGTCAAAGTTACCTGTAAGACCACATGGTGAAATTGAACAAGTACATTCTCCAGTTGTTCCTCCTATGAATATAGTTATGTGCATTCACAGTTAACCAACTCAAAGATAAGGAAGCCACCAAGTATGCAACATTAACAACCAAGTTGTGCTTAGCCCAACAGGCCAATGCCGACGACAATAGCAATGTCGCAAACATTCCATCAGTAATCATATCAGCATATTTGGGAACATGTGATGGAACTTTTCTTAGTTCTTCTACAACTTCTCTCTTTAGTGTTTGATAAAAACCGTCTTCTTTAAATGTAAATGGTGAATTTCGTGGCGTCTTTGCATTCCTAACGTAAAATTTTTCAAGCATTTTCTCTACATGAGGGCTTAAATGATGGCACATAAATGCTTCAGTTATATCTGTACCCTGTAATCGCAAAAACATAATAAGCCACCTTTTGTACTTAATTTAAGTAAACAAGACCATTTGCTATCAAACGTATTTTGTTTAGAGATTTAACGAATTAGCGTTAATTAGTTCTTATGCATAACACATTTAAATACCACTCTTTTTGCATCCCTGTTTGAACCTTAAGTTAAATAGTTTTATATTTCAATGTAGATAAATAAATCTTTATTACCATTATTATTATTTATTATAGCATTCTTATATAGTACATTATTCATTTTAGCGCTGCAAAGTTTATTTTCCATTTTGTTCCAGTTTGTGAACCATTTAGATCAACAATTCTTTCTAAAACTTCCAAAGAAAACAGGCAATTAGTATAATCGATTACCTTAGTGAGTTCCAACCACTCGGCTCCTCCGGGATGCCTTTTAACAAAATCATTCAAATCGTAAATTCCATTGTTTACGCGCCACAAGCCTTCCGCTCCGTCATCCATGGCTTTTCCTGTGAGCCATTGTACCGGGTCCTTAAAGCCTTCATCTCTAAGAGAAGGGTACTTCAATTGAGGAAAACTAACGTGAGTCTTTTTCTCTTCAGCTCTTTTTTGGGCAATCAAGAGGTATTCCTCTTTGGGGGCCATCCTTTCTTTGCTTTGTTACTAAATATTCTGTACAGATATTTTAGATCGTTAAATGACAAACTATTCACGTTAGTTGCACGCGTCTTTATACTACGACGCCGTATACTATATAAGTACAAATAATTATGGTTGTTCTACTTGTATAATATCTCAGTTCACAAACCTTTGCACTCAATGTTGATATCACTGTGACTGAGCACTTAATTTAAATAAACAAGGCAATTTGCTACCACACATATTTATTTTATAAATTTTGGATTAGAGTTTATTTTTACTAACACTCTTCGTTAATCATGAGCCAATTTCAAAAAAAGAAGCAATTCTAAATTCGTCGCTTTTTTGTGTGTATGTTACTTGATTACTTCGACATTTGTGAATCGAATTCGATGATTATATTTTTGTTGGAAAAAGAGTACCTCAGTAATGGTCTCATTTAAATTTACAGAAAACATTCCACCTCTAACGGTAGCAAATTAGGAGATGAATCCAGTTTATTGGCCTTTACCTACTTTCCATTAACCAATTTGAATAAAACTTGGCAAAGAGATATAATTCTACAAATTTTTGTGGTGGGTTATGTTTTGTACAAAAAAATTATAAGTATTTTAGTTCATATTTCGATAATTCCAGGATTTCTTTGCCTAATTTGAGAGACAATTTTCAAAATTTAAGTATACGAATATATTAACCTAATATGTTATTTAATATTCAAGTATCGAGAAAAAATATTTAATAATTCACGATATCTGACGGAAATTAAGCAGGATAGACTGAGCTAAGGATGATACGTTTATAGCATAGATGAATTTCTCATTTGTTTTTAATATTTTAGTCTAATTTTTCTAATATAATTGACGTTAATTAAGACAGATAACATGATTTTCGAGTTCTTCAGTTTCGAGGTCTTTGTGAAAGTGTTGGTCCAAGGAAGTACTGCCACCTTAACTATTTCTGCCGCCAGGCAGTAATGTGAGCATTACTGCGTTCCGGTTTGGAAGGGTTAAGGGTGTTGGTGAAATTACAGGTATATGGACCTGGCGCTATGGCAGTGACCCTAAGATCTTTGGTACACTTTAGTCTCTTAGTATCATTGCAACTGTTATGAATAGGCGTGTCGCTTACCATCAGGCGCATGACTTGTTCGTCCCCAGGTGTCATAAAAAAATCTGTTGTAAGTCAATGTGTTTCACATATATTTTACTGTAAATGTAAATGTGCCAGACAACCACACCAATTGCCTGGTCTCAAACTAGGGAATTCCCTGTACTCTGAATAGCCAATGAACGGAAATTACTTTAGGGCACTTGCTAGAACACGTAGACCAGAAGCAATAAAGAAAAGTTTATTTCCCAAATTGATCCTAACGGGAATCGAACGCAGGACCTCCGCATCCAGCAGCCATAGCGAAAACCGCTCACAGTTCGGTGGTCACAGACTTCCTCCACGCTCTCCATAAGTTTCTCTATGTAGCCCTCTAGCTGATGACAACTAAGAGCGGCTACCTGCTCTACTGGTATCGCGAGCAGTTCGAGATTCTCACGGAGATCCCGACGGAAGTGCGACCAGTCCGCTTTTCTGGTGTCGTATTTCCGTGTGGCAGATATCGGTCGTGGACCCTCGCAGGCAGCTGTCACAAACTGAAAGGTGATGGCCAGACAACTGAACCATTGTCTGATCCACCCTCTAGTTCGCGACTTTATCCAGCAACGCCTCCGTCACCAGGGTTACATCGATAATGCTCGTAAAACATCTACCACCACGGAACACTTCGAAGGTAGGGATGACACCTTGGTTCGCGACGTGCAGCCTCGACGACGACAGAAACTCCAAGAACTCGCGGCCTCTGTTGCTATCCTCCGAGCTACCCCACCAAGTGCTCTTGGCATTGAAGTCACCACCGATAATGGTTCTAACGGCGGAGACTGTCGCCTCACCGAGCACATCGGACGCATTTTTTTTTTGAACTCTCTACAGAGAGTTCCCTTGTTCCCAGAACAATTAAATCCAAACAGAGGCATTACCAAAATATCTAGGCCAAAACCAGCAACCAGAAAAGTTCATTTTCCAAATTGGTTCTACCGGTAATCGAACCAGGAACCAAGAGTTACGGAATTCACTCCGCGGCACTACTCATAACACCTTCGCTTATACCATTTAAAAAAAATGTTTAAAATTAGTTCTACCGGGAATCGAGGCCGGAATCAAGAGCTACGGAACTCACACCGCGGCATTACCCAGAGCACCTAGGCCAAAACTACGTTAGAAAAGTACATTTCCAAAATTGGTTCTACCGCTATTGAAACCGCTACATATTGCTTAAACACGACCACTCATCCATACAGTAGATGCAGCAAGAGGTCGAGCTTCGCCGGGCGCATTTTATAATATGCATTATAATATAGAACATACAGTCTACTAAATAAAGTACATATTGCTTCTATCAAAAGCGATTTTGCTTGGCTTTCATAGAAATATCGACTTTGTTTAGATAATTTTATATGTAATATTATATACTACATTGCATCTACTACGCAATCTGCCTTTCAAAGAAATATACCTTATTGTTGAGAAGCTAAGTTACATTTTGAATTGTCAAGGCGAAACAAGTGGGTGGAGTCGTAAAGCACGACGCGTCACGCGGCTTTACTCTTTTATTTTTTGTTGTTTGAAGAAATGTATACTTTGTGAAATAAAGAATATGTTCTATAGTATATTGCATTTTATACAGTGCGCCTACCGTAGCTCTCTGCAGCAGTTTGTTTAATGAAATGTTGCCTTATTTTGTTGAAGATAAAGTTTATGTTGCATTGCTCGCTTGATTGCAGCCCGCGCTGCGTCGCGTAGCATCTACGCATTATGAATCAAGCCTTAGATGCACGTGATCTCCGCGCGGCGTGAGCGCGATGAAATTTTTGTCGAATAAACGCGCCCTATGAGTGCTGATGAAATTACAGGCACGTGGGACTTTTCAACTATTCTCTCAGGGTAACGGACGCAGTGGCAGTGCCGCTCAGATCTTTGCAATTTAAAATTCTGAGATGCGCTGCAACTACCATGGACAGGCGTATCTCTTGCCACCAGCCGTACGACTCGATCGTCTCGTCACTTAGGGTCATAAAAAAAAGCTTAAAATCCAGTTTCAACTTCTTATGCGAGTAGGTTTATATTGCTTATCAGTAAACATTTCCAAAAATCTGAAACTCGATAAAAGTTATTAATTAATCAAGAACATACTCAAATCAAATTGAGAGTGTTCTTAAAAAGTTTAGAGTGCTTAGTGAGAAGAGTGAGAGGGCTTATATGAAAAGATTGATGAATGTAAGTGTAGCAAGCGGGGTTTGTCGTAACGTGCTAAGTGGTGATCGATAGTCTCTGCCAACCCCTCTAGGAATCTAAGAACGTGAATATAAATAAATATATAAAATTATTATTTTATATTCGTTGGGTTTAACAGCTCTATGGTAGTCCTTGTATCTATATGTAGATGTTTATCTTATTCATTTGGAACATTTTTTTACGGCTACTAGGAATAGCATTGTTTATGTAAAAAGGCGTTTATTTCACCAATATTTGTTTTTTTTATTTAAAATATTGTCGCGCCAATTGGCAGGCGTTCCGCATAGACTTAAAATAATACCCCTTAAACCAGTCATTCTGAAAAACAACGCCGGAATAAATCTCCTCACTGAAGAAACCAATTTATATTCCCTTTTTCCTTTCCCCTTTACGTAGTTCTTATGATTTGATTGTAAAACATTTATAAATAATTGTGATCCAAGATTTTAGATAAACTTAAAAAAAATATGGAAATCCTACTTATAAAATGACATACAAACAGAATGTTCAAAACAGAACACAAAGCTATGTGGTTAATGAACAGGAGCCTTGCTCAATGAATTAACATAACCATGCAAATAGGAAATGCATTTTAGGTACCCAGTCAGAAGACCCAATATAATCAAGCCCTAAACTCGAATACAATGTTCATGTGAACAGTGGTTAATGTGGCCAGCGAGTGCATGGGCCACATAATATGCAGCGTTTTATTTGAAAAAAGAATAGCCCCCTTTACACAGTCACTTTATGGCGCGTGATCAGGAGAGTGCAGCATTGCGCGCGGGAGAGCCTGCACGCGCAGTCGTGCGCGATTAACTGTTTGAATTTTTTTAAGCTAACGTTCTGTGGCGCGCGATTGCTCGTAAAGGCACCTGTCAAAGTCATCCTGAGACATAAGTTAACAAGCCCCATGTGCTTGTAATTTCACCGGTACCCCTTACCCTTCAAAACCGGAACACAGTAATATTGATATTACAGCTTGGTGGCAGAAATAGGTAAGGTGGCAGTACTACCTTGGACGAACTTTTTCACAAGGAGCTCTACTGTTATTAAAATCGCGCATGATAAGCCGCGTGAAACCGGCGCGTGTTAGAATGCGCAAATGCGCTCGCGACTGATGAGCGCGATCGCGCGGTCTTTCCCTTTTCCTTCTAACATCTTTACACGCGCGCTCAATTGCGCGCGATTGCCGTATCACGCGCGATAGAGTCTGTTTAAAGCCCGCTATTGACATTTTCAATCGTTTTTTGATGCTGCCTACTCAGAGGAGCTGAAAAAGTCTCTTTTTTTAGAATATTTTTATGAAACTTTCGGAGATTGTTCTTAATATTTTAGAAAGTATGGGAAAAATATTGGAAAAAAATATTTGTTCGGGAAAACCGGATTTTCACTTTGTCCTATACTTGAATAAAATATTATTTATTGAAATTCGGTGAAACTGTTTCTATTTGGCACAAAACACAGACAAATCTCAGATTTTTACAGTTTTTCTTATTACAACCACTTTTTGCAGCGTCCCTGTTTTAAACTGTTATGTCTTTAATTGCCTTATAGTCAATCCGAGAGACCTTCCAGTTTTCAAAATTTGTGTTCTATTTGTACAGTCAACAATAAGAATATCGTCATCGATATACCAACTATTGGTAGAATCTATACCATTCCCA